ATGAGATAAAACATCATCGTCATTGTCCGTGTGGAAAACATACCTACTACCCACAATCACGAGAAAGGAGAATTTGTATCATCTCAAAGTGGAGGATATTGATTAGATTTAAAAAATCAACAATGCCTCACTCAACACCCAAGTGGAAAATATCTCTCTTCACTACATATTGTAGAAGTATAGTTGTTTGCATCACTACAAAGATTGGCAAGAGTTTAATCTTTTTCAGAAAAGTTTTAAAGGTAAAAAGCCAAAGTGGAAAAATGGTTTGAAATGAGATTGATTGACTTTTAGTCTTCTCAAAAAAAAGTCAAAGTATTATTAAGTTGATTGGAGTTTATTTATGAAAATATTTTGAAAATACATGGATATAAGTCCAAGTTTATTATGAAAATGGTTCAAATTTAAAACAAGAAGAGTTTTCAAAAGGAGGGAGAAGATTTTTGAAATTAAAGAAGATGGGAGGAGATGAAGAGACTATCCTAAAGCATAAGGTAAAAGCTAGGGATAAGAATCATCTAACCAACAGGAAGCCAATACTTGGCATTATGAGCCAAGATAGAATTCCCATTCGTTGGATTGAAACCAAGCAAGCAAAAATACTAGACCTCTTGAGAGAACTAAACTTCAAGTGTATTAAGTCTTCATAAAAATTGGGCAGAGTAACGACTGTATACGGGTGAATTCTAGATTACAAACAAAGGGTGTAATCACAATAACCTGCACACAAAACAAACAAACAACCCAACATCTTGAGGTAAACCTCAAGAGCTCCAAACAAAAATAATCAGACAAGATCATAAGGTTTCCAAGATAAGCCAAGGGTTCTAATCCTAAGTCCAAGAAAAGTCCCATGCTCCATAATGCCAATGATAGTAGCCAAATAGTCCAAGTACCATTAAATATTTTTAGGGTTTAGGTTGATTATTAAGTATCTTAAGAAATGAAAAGAAAAGCTCAAGTGAGCAAAGTACAAAATGGCAAGAAAATAAATGCTCAAATGAGCAAAGATGAAAATGGCATGAAATGTAAATGCTAAAAGTAAATAGCACATAAAGCATAAAAAAGAATAAAAGCATAAGGTGAAACAAGTCAATAATTAGTGGTTAGTTGGATGACCATCTTGAAACTTGCATTTGGAACTCATTAGAAGATTGGTAGAACCAAAGCCTCCACACAACAAGTTGCATTTGCTTTTTGTCAAGAATATCATCCATTTGGAATTCTCATAAGTACCATTTAATGATCAACAATGTTTAAGTGATCCGCGTTGACCAAAGGTGTTGTAGATCCATTGAAGGATTGGTAGAACCAAAGCCTCCACAAAATGAATCTCAAGGTTATTGGATCAAAGATATCAAGCTAACATACTTGGGCTTGCAATCATTAGTTTGGGCCACGAATGATCATTTATTCGAATCGGGACAAAATTTAGAGCTATGTTAAGCAATCGTAAGTGGACTTATATAGAAGTCGCACCTATTTTGAGGTCGGTGAATAGCAATTTATGCCCCATTTATTTTGAGACATGATATAGAGATCATGCTCGAATAACACCCAGTGCAATAAGAAAGGGGATGAGATGAAGAGGGATAAGAAAAAAATATACAAACCACATTTGAATTAAATTTTAATCAAACTACTATTAAAATCATTCATCCATTTTTTGGGGAGTTAAACTCAACACCATGGATCCAATGATGTTAATAAAGTTCATGATCCAAAATCTAACCCAAGATCAACCATAAAATAGTCACAAAATAATATCACATTTTAATATATACAAAAGGGTTAAAAAATAATGTTTAAAAATAGAAAATAAAGAGAAAAATATCAACTATGTTCAAATTAATCAAAAAATAAAAAAAGTAAGACCATAGGAAAATCCAAAATGGATACAAATATTTTTATAAAATTTTTGGTAATTTTTTAAAAGTCAAAAACTATTTTTAAACTATTTAAAATTGCTCAAACAAATAGAAAATAGGTCAAAAATATGCAAAATAATATTTATGAATTTTTTTAAAATTAAAAAATGTCAGAAAGTATGTTTTAAGTATTTAAAAGAAAGAAAATGATTCAAAAAATACAATAAAATATAAAATATTAAAATAAAAATGTGAAAAAATAGTCATGAGATCAGAAATAATTCAAAGTATTTTTGTGATTTTTTTCATAATTTTTGGATAATAAATAAAACAGTTATGAATTTTTGAAAATTTGATAAATAAAATATATAAAATCAGAAAATAAAATAAAACCAAAAAGATGTGGACCATCAGATCATAGTCAAAACGCGTTAGTAAGCTGATTCAGTGGACCAGACGCGATGTGCTTGATATGGACCTTAGTGAGATACACATAGGATCAGAAAAAGGGAAACCAATGAAATTAAAACGTTTGGCACGCAATCATTGGCTGAGACGAGACATGTCACCGTCTTCAACCTCCAGACGCCCTGCAATGAGAATTTTGTGAGATCCTTCAAATGAAAAAATTAGAATCTCAGGCTAGTATCATTGAACTCGTCTCTTCAAGACGATTCTAACACCACCATCGCGCCAAATTTATATAAGGTATGGAGAGGGATATGAATCAAAAACTCAGAAAATAGCGAGCACCTTCAATTTGAGATTTCTCTCTCAATTATCAATGGATTTAAAAATTGTAAGCAACAATAGAATCAAGAGAAGGTGTAGAATAGATTAGTGCTTGATTTGGATCAAAATGGTGGAGAATTCTACCTTTTCGAAGTTCATTGAAGAAGCTCTGAAACTGGACTCCTGTAGCTTGAATTATGGCTCGTTTTGATTGGTTTAAGTGCAGGAGAGTTTGTATGATGCTTAGGGATGATGAATGCGCAAAGAATTTTGGAAAAGGGAGCTTAAATCTCAGAAACTGAATTCAAAAAAGATGGGTTCGTGTGAGGTTTTAGCATGGTGTTTTTGGCTCTCAAAGCTTGAATAAATGAATGAGGGGTGACCCTCTATTTATAGGGAAGTGAATGGGAATGAAAATTGGAATAAACAAGGAAGTTTGGAGGGAAATTGAATGAAGGTCAAGCACGAATGAAGTGTGACTTCATTTCCATCAAAACTCAACCAAATCTTGCGTTTTGGGGTGCTAATCACTTATGGAAAGTTTTCTAATCAAGTTTAAATAAAAAACGCGCATAAATCTTTTGTTTAGAAGTCACATTATGGATTTCAAAATTCTGACTTTGTGGAAAATTCAGTTTCAAGTTACCAAATTCAAATCCATGGAATTTCCAACTCAAGGGGTCTTAGGGCATGATTCTTGATGATTTAGAAATATGAGGTTACAAGCTTTGCAATGGAAAAAGAATGGAATCAAATGGATTCTTGAGCTGAAAGTTGCATTGAGTAAAATTTGAAGAAAAAGGGTTGACTTTCCATACTTAGAAATATTTCAAATTCTTCTTTTAAAATGACCTATAATATTTTGCATCCAAACATGGCCTTCCACTAGAAATTTTCTCTTGACCAAGAAATATGTAATGAATTAGATCTCTTGAATGAAATTTTGAAACTTGAACCACTCAAAATCTAAAAAAATTGAGCAAGTTATGACTTGTTGAAGTTGGCCAAAAATAATGAAATGACCTAAAATATTTTGCATATTTAAGGCAACCTCCATCCATTTTCCCACTTTTCACATAAAATAAGGCATAAATTTCACATCTTCAAGATCATTATGGAAAAAGAATGGGTTCAAGGTGATAAAAATTGACCTAGTTATGATCATTTGAAGTCACACATGGAAAATTGGGGATTCATCTGAAGGACTTGTAATATTTCTTCTTCATCAAGTTTCTTCCACATGAAAAATCCTTGGAACTTTTGAAGTGATTTGTTGATAAACCTTTGAAGAGAAGGATGTATTTGGAATCATTCAAAAATACCAAAAGATGAGCAATATATACTCCTTTGAAGTTCAAAACCCTAGCTTCTAGATCAAGAAAATGCCTTGAGGAACTTTGACATGTTTGAACAAACTTCTTGTACCAATATTCTTGCTTTGTGAATAAAAGTTGTTGCGGATGATAATGAGAACTCTTAGCCACCAAAACCACTTTCATATCTTGAAATTTGAGAGAATTATGCCCTTGTAACCAATATGAACAACGCTTTGTCCAAACATAACAGCTTCTCCAATCAACCCCTTGTACTTTTGAATAAATCTTGATAACTTTGAAATGTTGTGAACCAAAATAAACCTTGTCATGCCATTTCTTCCAAAACAACTTCAATGGTAAGGTTTTAACTTCTCAATCTTTTTATTGGCTAGGGCATGGAAATAAACTCATGAACCCATGGAGTAATTTGTTAAATCTCATTCCCCTTCACCTACATGTATAACAAGCAAGACAAACCAACATTGCATTTTATTAGTTAAATGAATAAAACAAAACAATATTAATTATCACAAAAGGAACATAAGTCCAGGTGCTTGGTAATCCCACAAAAGGAGAAAAACTCAAAGTAGGGAGGGGAACAAAGAATCCTAGTGTGATCTTGTTGTGAATAAATCAACATGGTATGATGAAGGGATCTTAGAGGCAAAAATTGGGGTACAACATTTAGGTTCACAAGTTATAAAGATGGACTAATGACTTAAAATCCTTCATGGGTTCACCAAAACCACGCCTGAGAAGCTTGCTTAATGATGCATCAAAAGTGTTCCATAAGTTGTCCAACTATGCCATCAAAGCTTGTCACAAATCTTGCCAAGAGTTTGTCCAAACTTGTTGCTAAAGCATTACTAGCCTCGAATGAGCAGCACCACGTTTAAACTGCAATTAGACAAATTCACTTGCATTTAACCTGTGGCCAGTAAACTCAAAACAGTTTCACAAAATGATTGAAACAAAAGGTGGAAAAATAGTTATCCAAGCCTTCCAAATATGCAACCCTGCGTTATTTCGAAACCAGGAATTAAAATAAAGAAGGGGAATTTCAGAACAAGCTTGATATCAAATGTTACAACTCAACATGTTTAAAAACTTCTCTAACAAGCTTCATAACAAAATCGAAAAATGAGAAATGAGATTCAATCCCAACCATTCGTTTGTTATAACAGATTTTTAAAATCAAGGGATGAGATGTTTTTACCTGTAGCAAACTTCTCAGAGAAGCTAAGCTGACCGTTATAAATTTGGGCTTCTGTTTTAATCTGAGGACAGGATCCATTGCTGCAAATACTTCTTGAAGAATTTTAAAAATTCTCTAAGGCTTCAATACGGTTTATCCAGCAATTTCAGAAATTTCTCTTGGCATTCTATCTAAATTAAGTCTTCACTTTTTATCATCTTCATCAGTTCACTCTTCTTCATCTTCCCTATTTCAATCTTCAACAACTTCGATCATCGTCCGCTTCAATATTACTGCATCGCATCAATAGTATCTACATGTGGTAACATCAATTCGCATCATCACACATTGCAATCTGCAAGAACAATACTGCTGTGAATTCAGAGCAGAAAATAAAAAGTAGAAGAAGAAAATTCTTAAAATACAGAAGCACGCGGAGGAAGACATTAAGATTGAAAGAGAAGTAAGAAATAGAAGCACCTAAATAGAATCTGGTTTTTTCTTTTGGCATCTTCGAAGCACCATCAGAGCGTCTTCGATCGGTAATCCTAGAACTCTCCTTTCTCTCTGCATATGCTTCTTATTGTGATGATGCAGAACGATGTTTCTTTCCTTTTTTTTTAATCCCCTAAATCCGTGTTGCGTTTTAATTTCTCCGTCACCCTTGAACTCCATGACATTGAGTAGAAGATTGAGTAGACAACAAGTTGAAGGAGGAATAAGTTGATACGCGACTGAAGCGCAAAATCGCAAGTGGACGGTGAGGCAATGGTGACTGTTGAGACAGCGATGCTGAGTGAAGGTGAAGTCGAAGAGTATTTAGTGAGCATCAATTGAATTGATCGAATCGGAGATGAGCATCGAAAGAAGACGAACGAATTAAGATGATGATTGGAGGTCATTATAACAACGGGAGCGTGAAGTTGGAGATGTTGACGGAAACATCGAGTTTGAATTGAAGATGACGAAGCCGCGAGGGAGTTGAGGCGCTGTAAAGAAGATGACGAGGCCGCGATGGATAAGAGATTCAGATGGTGGTAGATCGCCAATGTACACCCGAGAAGACGCGCCGCCGATTGAGGTTAAAGAAGAAGTGTGTTGGAAGGAGGTCAAATGACAACTCCTTAACCCTAGTGTTCTTCTCTTAAAACGACATCGTTTTTTTTATTTGTTTATTTCGTTTTTATTTTATTTTATTGAAAACAAAAATCTGAAGTGGACTGAATTAATTGGGCTCTTGCTGCGTGAACCTCCATAAGGCCATTCCACACCTTTTTTTTTGGAAGCTGATATACCTTGTACAAACAAAAACTTCTCTTCGACCCATACTTTGGGCTGTAGCGCCTTACTTCCCCACACCCTTAGTCAGAATTTCATACCTCCCTCTGATTTCTCATTCTTTTAATTTTCTTATTTTCTTCCATTTTTTATTTGTGTTATTTTTTTTAATTTGTGTTGTTGATTTTAGGTATTAAAAAAAAATATTTTAGTAAATAATAAAAAATATATAAATAATACCTTAGACTTTTATAAGTATTTTAGGATTTAATTAGATTTTATTCCAATTATTTCTTCATACTTTTAATTTCTTTAAGTCAAATTTACACATCATGTTTTATGTGTTTTCTATGTGTAATATTGATCAAATAAGATGCTTGAAATTAAAGATTATCTTGCGTTGAAATGCCATGCTCCTTTATGATTCCACGAGACGATTAATCTTTGTTTCGATTGTCTTATGTTGATTAGACCTTAGGAGGTTAATACAAGCACAAGCATCAGAATAGCTTTTGCCTTATTGCTTCAGGATAATTCCTTCATCTTCTTTTAAAAATCTTCTCTCTCCTTTTGAAAACTCTTCTTGTTTCTAACCTGAACTTCTTTCACAATAAATTTTGATTTAGGTCCATGCCTTTTCAAAAAAAATCATTTTCATAAATAAACTCAAATCAACTTAATAATACTTCACATTTTGTGAGAAGACTAAAATTCAATCAATCTCATTTCAAACCATTTTTCCACTTTGCCTTTTTATCTTTAAAACTTTTCTTAAAAGATTAAACTCTTGTCAATCCTTGTAGTGATGCAAACAACTATACTTCTACAATATATGGTGAAGAGGGATATTTTCCACTTGGGTGTTGAGTGAGGCATTGTTCATTTTAAAATCCAAGCCATATCCTCCACTTTGAGATGATGCAAATTCTCCTTTCTCGTGATTGTGGGTAGTAGGTATGTTTTCCACACGGACAATGACGATGATGTTTTATCTTATAAAATTAACCAACACATTTTGGTTTTAAATTTTTGAAAGAGGAACTACGTGTACCCTGATCCCCTATTGCACGAAAGGTGGTACGTAGGCACTAAAGGTTCGCAACCGCGGCGGGTGAAAAAATCATAAAAAATATATTTCTTTTCTCACCTCCACCATCCATTTTATATACAACAGTTTTTATAGCCAAAATATACAGATTTTACAAAGAGGCTCTTATGGAGTACCGTAGATATTTAGGGTCATAATACCTTACCTTTGCATAACCAACCCCCTTACCTTGAATCTTTCCCCCTCTTTTTGGGTTATTCGCTCTTTTCCCATTCCTTTGGAAACAATAAAGCGCGGTGGGGATTTTTACTTTGATTTGTATAAAGTCTAGTCAATCCAATGGCTTAGTCTTGAACATTTCTACTGCTACACAACGGTCTTCCTTATACGGGAGGGAGCAAGATAGGAGGTTCAAGCAAATATTCCTTAATACTCTCAAATGCCCTTTGGCAGTCATCCGTCCATACACAACCTTGATCTTTCTTTAACAACTTAAAGATCGGTTCACATGTTGCAGTCACGTGGGAAATGAATCTGGAAATATAATTCCAACACCCGAGGAAGCCTCTGACTTGCTTTTCTGTTCTCGGTGCTGGCATTTCTTGAATTGCCTTAACTTTATCAGGGTCAACTTCAATTCCTTTTTGTCTAACAATGAAACCCAACAATTTCCCTGATCCAACACCGAAGGTGCATTTATTTGGATTCAAGCGAAGATGATACTTCCTCAAACGCTTAAACAGCTTCAACAAATCTTCTATATGCCCTTCTTCAGTCTGGGATTTGGCAATTATATCATCAACATATACTTCAATTTCCTTGTGCATCAGATCATGGAATAGGGTTGCCATAGCCCTCTAGTACGTCGCACCAGTGTTCTTCAACCCGAAAGGCATCACTTTGTAACAGAATGTTCCCTAGGGTGTGATAAACGTTGTTTTTTCCATGTCCTATGGAGCCATTCTTATTTGATCATACCCGGAAACTCCGTCCATGAATGAGAATACTTTGAATTTTGTTGTGTTATCCACTAACATGTTGATGTGAGGCAACGGAAAATCATCTTTTGGACTACCTTTATTTATATCTCTGTAATCTACGCACATGCGGACTTTTCTGTCCTTTTTTGGTACTGGGACAATATTGGCAATCCATTGAGGATACACTGACATCACAAGAAAACCAACATTAATTTGCTTTAGAACCTCCTCTTTGATCTTTACTGCCATATCTGGGTGAGTTCTTCTCAACTTTTGTTTAATTGGCGAACACTCTGGCTTCAACGGTAAACAGTGCTCGAAAATATCTGTATCTAGACCGGGCATATCTTGGTAAGACTAAGCAAAAATATCAACATACTATTTTAACAGCTCAATCAACCTGCTCTTCACATCAGGATGCAGTGATGCTCCAATCTTGACTTCCTTTGGATCTTCTTCTAAACCCAAATTGATTACTTCCAAAGGCTCTTTATATGGCTGAATGGTATTTTCCTCGTGCTCAAGAAACCGTGAGACCTCTTCTAGAATCTCATCATAATCTTCTTCTTCAGCCCCATGCACAGGACATTCAAAGTTGGGAGAGGGTGCAGGGTCATTGTATTCAACGGGGTTTTTAATTAATCTGCACATATGATCTGTGATTGCTTTTAGAAACTGACACATATAACAAGTGATCATGCATATTAAATTTCAGTTATTATTTATTTTGAAAGGTTTTTTTTATTACCATTTTCCGAGAAAAAGCAGAAAAATAAAGACATAATTTGGGAAACAAAGATAACTTTTATTATTGATCTTAACAGTCACAACAAACAGATAAGCCCTACAACATTAATACTTCCACCTTGGGCAGAGTGAAAGCTTTTCAAAAGAAAGATTAACAAATCAAATTACTTTGAAACATGTATGCAAGAGGGAACATCAATGGTGATCCAGTTCTGAAACTTGACTCCGTGCGTCACATAATTCGGCATTTCCTGCTCTGCTTCATCCACCACAATGGCGTTAATCCTGGAAACAGTCAGATGAAGATAGCCTTCGCTATGGAAAATGTCTTGATACCTGCCTGTAGTAGACTTTGGCTTCACGCCCTTACCTTTGTCATTCTTAGAAGAGAATCCTAAGCAAGTTTTATTCTTGTTTACAGGTGGATCCACAATTCGTCCCCAAACTTCACTATGACCATTAGACACAACCTGATGCGCATCCTTCAGCGAAACCATGAAATTCTCATTTCCTCTTATGTTATCAATGTATAAGGATTAGATTTGGGTTTCAACAGCAGCTTCATCCGCTTCTACAATAGTGAAAGAGGACAAATGAGATATCAACAATGCCTGCTCCCCATATATGATCACCACCTTCCCTTCACGCACGAACTTTAGCTTCTGGTGTAAAGTTGAAGTGACAGCCCATACTTCATGTATCCACGACCGTCCTAACAAACAACTGTAAGCGGGAGCAATTTCCATGATCTGGAAGGTTATCTAAAACAAATGTGGTCCTATATGGATATGTATGTCCACTTCACCGATGACCGATTTCCTTGACCCACCAAACGCTTTCACAATGATACCACTAGGGCGCATAGGCGTTCCTTGATATTTCAACTTCATAAGGGTACTTCTTGGTATAACATTCAACGCGGATCCATTATCAATCAGCACATTGGATAGAGAATCATTCTTGCAGTTCATAGAGATGTGGAGGGTCAAGTTGTGATTCCTCCCTTCATCTGGTAATTCATCATCGTAGAAACTCAAGTTATTACATGATATAATGTTTCCTATTACGCTGCTGAATTGGTCTATTGGCATATCACTCTCCAAAAAATCTTGGTCCAGTACCCTCATCAAGGATTCTCTGTGAGCAACTGAGTTCATCAATAAAGCAAAGATACATATTTTCGAAGGAGTCTGCAGTAGCTGATCTACAATTTTGTAGTCGCTCATCTTAATCATCTTCAAAATATCATGTACTTATTTCTCTAACGTAGCTCCGCTAGTCTCTCCCATAGCCTTCTTAGGTTCATCATTCTCAGCAACTTTCTTTCCAACATCAACATATTTCCGAACAACCGGTGCAAACACACGACCGCTACGGGTCACCCTACCATTTTCAGCTATATTTCCAACATCAAGCATTGGCTGGATGGGAACCTCCACACCGTCCTCCAAGATTATAGCGTTGTATTTTTAAGGCACAACCTTATCTGATTTGTAGGGGATAGGACCTGGCAAACTTATTACCAATGGGGTAACAACTGGCTTGCTATGATACTCCACTTCAAAATGGGCGGGTGCACCAAAACAAGGCACAATGACGTTTACCCCTTCTTCAATGCAATCGGTCATTAATGAGTCATTTCCAGAAAACAACTTTGTCTGAAGAGAAATACTCATTTGTGGATGCATACTCCTCCTCTGACTCTTCTTCCGTTAAACAAACCTCAATCATATCAACTTCATGGTAATCAACCCTCTGACCTGTGATCTTGATAGTTCCATTATCTAACAACAGTTGAACACCCTTCTTCACGATTGAACATCCTCGGGGGTCTCGACAGTAAACTATG